ATATATAGAATTATTTACATATATAATTATACGTATATAAATAATAATTAATATGGCAAACTCTTAGGAATATATCGTATCTCTGAACAGTAAAGCTGAACAGTAAGTTGTCAATCTTGATTATTGTTCATAATCAAAATTGTGTGACTCGCATTATCAGTGATGTTATCCTGTCAATCCGTTTGCTTAAAATTGTACCTGATTCCGACGGGTGATGGTGACTTTCACCGTTCCTGGAAAGAAATGTTATTTCTGAGGACAGAATAGAATTCGTTGCTCTTTTTGACATATATAATATAAGTGAGTTATTCTGATGCAAATATAAATGAATGTCATTAAAACAAAAAATATAGGGAAAAGTGGGAAAATTGTGCGCATTTTGGTTTAGCATTTTTCCGATAAATGGAGCTGCTATACCGTAATAAAATTTCTAAGCTAAATGTAATTCTTTTTAGATATAACCATAAGTTATATAATTTGAAAATGTAGTTAACGGCAAAAGTGAAAAACGATAAAATTATACATTTTGATAATAATCTTGACATCTAGAAAATAAGATGATAAATCCGTATTCTTATTTTATTTATTTAATCATGCATTAAAGTACGTCATTATGTGCGTCTTTTGAGATTATTATTCATTGAATTAAGTTAAAAAGTCTTTGAATAATTGATTTTCTTCTCAAATTGTGCGCATTGACAATTCAGGTTTCTCCCAATAAAAAGTACACTATTTGCGAAGAATTCGGAAGATATGGAACTCTGCCCAGTCGACAAACTAAAGTAATATAATATTAATATTGTAATTTCGTATTCCACAATATGAATGTAATATAACACATATGGTTATGTAACAGCTCAAGGAATACACAAAATCGAAAGGAAAGAAAAATAACGTACTTTGACATCAAAATAATGATTTTTTTTTTGTTACAAAATTTGTTTATTGAAAATGTGTTTATATTGACTTCAATTTCAAAAATCACATCATAGCAATAAACTCCCCTTAAGTGCGCACAATCTCTCCATTTTCCCCTACAGCTACATCAACTGTAAGTCATAAAAGAAGCCTACGTAAAAACAAAATATGTTTTCTAAAACAAAAAAATTCATACAACAAATTATAACCAGATGTAATCATAGTCGACGTAAGAAAAAGTAAAAACATGTTCTCTAAGGTCAACCTGATGAAGTTGATTAAATTAATATTATTTGTATCTCTTGCCAATCCGAGTGCATAATAAGCATGAAAAATATACATACGGTACGTGTAATGTAAAGAAAAGTCAGAAAAAAGTGTGCAAAGAACACATTCAATGTCGTTATAACAAAATAGCTACAAGAAAACATTCCAGAACTGTTCTTCCTTAATTTTCAATCAGATAATTAAAAATATGCACTTTTTACAAAGAAAAAAGTTTATTTTTCTTTGTAACATTAAACATAAAAATTGGACAGAAACATTTCTGAACATTTTCTTATCAATTCAGAATAATATCCCGTGCGCGTTACTATTTAAGCACGGTGCAACAATAAAATATGTGCAATGAAAAGATATCTCTCCTACTTTTTTCCGTAAGAAAGCTATTAGCTTTTTCCACAATATTTTTCTCTATATATCAATAAATTTGTATTTTTGTCTGACGTTAATCGTTATATTATAAGCTTA